TGTATTCCCCAGTACCAAAGTAGGCACCCTTAAAACAAAGAACTCCCACTTAAGAAAAGTACCATCTTCCTAAACTGGGCACTGATGGCTCACACCTGTAATCCTAACTACTCAGGAGGCAGAGATCAGGAGGATCCCTGTTTGAAGCCAGCCCCAGGCAAAAAGACCCTATCTCAAAAAAACCCATCACAAAAAAAAAGGGCTGGCAGAGTGATTCAAGCAGTAAGAGCACCTGCCTAGCAAGCTTGAGGCCCTGAGTTCGAGCCCCAGTACCACCAAAAGAAAAAGTACTATTCACCCTAAAAACTGGGACCAAGCTAGTTATGGTGGCACATTGCTATAATCTCAGCATCTGGGAAGTTGAGGCCACCCTAGGCTATATATCAAAATCCTGCTTCAAAAAATGAAAAAAAAAAAAAAAAAGGACCACAGTTGATCTTACCCTGACTTTATTACTACTCTGGTTGACTAACTGATGGTTCTAATTTCATACCATCTTTTCCAGTGGGCTTCACACCCAGCTGAAATACTACAAGAGACACGAATGACTCAAAACAGCAGAGTTCAACGGTCTTCCTGCTAAGTCTGGGACCAATGGCAAAATCCAATGATCTATATTCTGAGGCTGAGTGATGTTAACTTGGAAAGACTCTACAGACTTTAGGCAGCACTTCACATAACCTACATAGGCCACTTCAGGGTATTTTCGTAGTAGCCCTGGTACGATATATTGCCAAGATTAATGGCTCTATCTGGGAAGCTCTCAAGATAATGACAAGATACATGTACTTAATCAAGATTTCTCTGAAACATTCTTCAATTGTTTACCCTACAATAAAAGAAGGAACTCAGGAAGTTCTAGTCCCTGTTCTGCTACAGACTGGGAGAATGACCTTGAGCTCTTTCCTCATCTAAGAGCAGCAGTGTAATAGTATAATACCCCATAGAACTGCTATGAGGACTTAATTTTATACTGCCATACACATGCTATATCTTAGTGATTTTTTTTCTTTAAGTAAAAGGTAAACTTTCTTTACAATGTTTATTTTATACTAGAAATACACAAAACAAGCTCAATGGAGCTGGGCACAGGTGGCTCACTCCTATAATCCTAGCTACTTGAGGCAGGGACCAGGAAGACCTTGGTTCAAGGTCAGCCTGGGCAAAATGAAATCAAGACCTTATCTCAAAAATACACAACACAAAAACTCCTGCACTCAGAAGTTTGAAGAAGGTGGATAGTAAATTCAAGGCCAGCCTAGACTACAAAGTGAGACCCTGTCTCAAAAACAAACAACAAGGTTCATGTGTGGTAGTGCACATCTATAATTCCAGCATTTTGGAGGGCAAGGCAGGAGGATCATGAATTCAAGGACAGCCTTGGTTACATAGTGTGACTCTATATCAAAGACAAAAATTTTCTTTTTTTTCTTTTTCTTTTGTTGGTGGCACTGAGGTTTGAACTCAGAGCCTTATACTTACAAAACAGGTGTTCTACCACCTGAGCCACTATGCCAGCTCTCCTTTTTCTTTTCTCCTTACTCTTTTTTTAAACACAAGTATCCCCTATTCTTGGTTAGGATCCAATTCAATATCAATTTCTCTTTAAAAAACAAAGGTTCAGACATGTATGACATATAATCGAAACGTTAAGTGAAAAGTCATCTGGACCCAAAGATGTTCAAATCAAAGGAGACTGGAGTATAAAAAGACTCAAATCAAAGGTTTTCAAGAATCTGAGCTAAGCTGTCCCACAACTCACACAGTAAAATGATCATTTCATGACTATTTACATAATGTTACAACCTTAATTACTGCAATCCAAATCAAGAATGAGTCAATTTCCTTTGGTTCAAATACCACATTAAAAAAAAAAAAAAAAAAAAACTGCAACATTTAGCGAGAAGTCATGTCTGAGACCAAAGGGTTCTTGTTAGGCTCACTGCACCTGTGAAACTGCTGGCAGACAGAGAATAATGAAGGTCATGCTCTTTATACAGGAAGGGGCTGGGTTCAACCAAAGCTAATAGCACACAGGACAGGAGGACTGAAATTAGAATCACATCCAATAAATTCTCAAGCTATCTAATTTTAGCTACTCAGGAGGCAGAGATCAGGAAGATCACAGTTCAAAGCCAGCCCAGGGAAATAGTTCACAAGACCCTATCTTGAAAAACCCTTCACAAAAATAGGGCTGGTGGAGTGGCTCAAGGTAAAGGCCCTGAGTTCAAGCCCCAGTACTGCAAAAAAAAAAAATAAAAATAATTAAAAAAAAATCACAAGCTGGGGCTTTGCTGATTGGCTCTATCAAATCTAGTTCCTCTTAACTGCTCCTCTCCCAGTATAGAGTGTGTCTGACAGTATCTCCTGCTACCATCTTCTCGTTCCTTTAGCTACTCTAGCCTCTCCAAGTTGCCTGGACTGGCTGGGAGTGCTCACCAGGTCGTCTCTGGTTACTATTACGTTTTTTACCTTCCCTCTGCCTGGAATGCTTATCACCAGTAGGATGCATGGTTCTTTCCTTCACTTCCTTCAAATCTGCTCAAGGGCCATTTCGCCAGTGGCACTTTTTTTGTCTGCCCTATTAAAATTTATAATCCTTCCTTCCCAGTTTAATTTTCCTCCATATCACTCATCTGACTTAGTATTTATATTTTAAATAACACCTTCACTTTCTATCATTTCCTTGTCAGTAAAAGGACTTGTTTTTCGTCTTTTGTTCATTGCTGTATTCCCAACATCTAGAATAATGCCTGGCATAATTCCGTAAATATTTACTGAATGGAGTTAAGTGAATAGTGAAAGGGTCACAACAGATGATAAATTACTCCATTTTGTAAGATTACCAAATCCAAAACTTCGACTTCCTTTAAGAAAGAAGGGAAGCTACTGAGATTATGAGTACTTAGGGAAGAGGGTTATAGCAATGTAAAATAGGCTGGGAAGGATGAAGTACAGTTGTGTTCTCAAAGTTAAGAATGCCTAAGAATCACCTGACTGCTTGCTATAAAGGCAGACTCCCAGGCCTGCCTCCACCAAACTGATTGGATTGTGAATCAGTTAGATGTGAGACTTAGGAGCTCATCACGTAGCTCATGGAAGCTATGATAATTGCTACCATGGAATAAGGAATAAGCACTGACTGCCAACAGTTCAAGACATGCACAAGAGATAATCTTGCACGTGTGTACTTTGACAAAAGGGTGAGTCTCTGTAGTCATAAAGACTTCCTGTGGTACTTAGTGTTGTATCCAGGAATGTTGTTATTCTGGGTAAGTACCTTAGTTGCAGGACTTTAAATTAAGTCCATACTAAGTATGCTTAACTCATGACAAATTCTGGTTTTGCAATACTATGTAATCACATGGCCTGTCTTGTGTTTTCATAAAGGGCAGATCTATCCCATGCGTCAGTCACACCTTTGATAAACTATAAAGCACATGACTTAACATAATATAAACGAAATGTACCATAGTTTCCCAATTTGACTTTGGCTAATCAAACTTACTCGGGACCCCCAACACAGAACTAAATCAAGAAAGCCACTCAAAGTATACCCAAAAGCAAAGATTGTTCTTTTTTTGGTAATACTGAAGTTTGAAAAGGCCTTAATTCTTGCTAGGCAGATGCTCTACCACTTGAGCCACTTCACCAGCCCTTTTTTGTGTTGGGTATTTTTTGGATAGTCTCTCTTTTTGCCCAAGCTGGCCTTGAACTTTGATCCTCCTGACCTCTGCCTCCCAAGTTGCTAGGATTAAGCCACTAGTGCCTGGTTCCAAAGATGGATCTTAATAATAAGTTGTTTCTTCTCCTTTTTGTAATGCTGGGATCACCTACCTCCAGCGTCTTGTACATGTTTAGCAGGCATTCTACTACTGAGCTACAACCAGCCCAAAATAGTCATTTCCTTAAACACTGAATCAGGGAAAACCCATAGGTCTTTTTCCCAGTTTGCTACTTAGTCTACTGAAGAACTGCAGAAAGCAGCCAGCTATACTGTGTTCAGGATAGACCTAACTGTCCAAACAGACACTTCCCCAAATTCTAGGAATGACCCACAGGATTTTTGCTCAAAACTTCAGTTTTCTGAATGTATAAACAGTTGGTTTCCCTGCCTCCAGAGAAAACGCTAATTTATGAAGACCACCAATTTGGGGTACAAGTGAGTGAGTGGTTATTTCTTTCTTCTATCTCATATGAATATGTCTCTTCACTCAAGTTTTTTATTCTAAAACTTAAAATGTTCTTTCTATGTTTTGGAAAGAGCAGATGTCAGGGCAAGAAAATCATCCCAGGTTCACAGACATTCCTGGAAGTGCTCATTTATAGAACATACTACCGTGAGCTTCAAAAAAGAAATTCCTACAGAGGTCTAGGGAGTCACTGACCTTGGGAACCATTTTTTTTTTTCTTTTTGGGTGGTACTGTAATTTGAACCTAGGGCTTCTTGTGCTTAGCAGGCAGATGTTCTACCACTTAAGCCATTCTCCCTACCCTTTATGCTTTATTTTTCAGGTAGGGTCTTTCATTTTTGCCCAGGCCAGCCTGGACCTCAATCCTCCTACTTATGCTTCCCATGTAGCTGGATGACAGGCATGCTCCACCACACCCAACTTTTTGTTGAGATGTGATCTCACTAACAGTTTTGGTTGGTAGGCTGGTCTCAAACCATGATCCTTCTGAGAAGCTAAGATTATAGACGTAAGTCACTGTGCTTGGCAGACCTCAAAAGTGAGCTAAGCTCTATACTTCAGTATGAAGCTATACTGTATAATGCTCTGAGTGAGTAATTTATCACATATAACTCCAAGTTTGAAAGACCACATATTTCTGCTAAGGATAAACAAGAGGAAATAAGATATATGATGATCTTCCAAAGCATCAAAAATAAGGGAACCATGCATCTGAATATCCCTGACTGTATTTCTTTCCAAACAGTGGCATGTCCTGCTAAGCCCCAGAAGCCAACAGTGGCCAGTCAGCTTTCTCAGTAAACTCACCTTCTCTCCTTGGAGCGACGGGACCGAGTCCCGCAAACTGTGAAAGCTGTCTTTGATGTGGTCCCTTCGTTTTCGTTCCAGTGCATTATGATGAGCCCGTTTGTCAGCCTAGAAGAGTGGGAGAAAGAGTACATTAGGAAAGTCACTCATTTTTACTTAGTACAAGGTGGATGGGGTACAGTCTGGAGGTATATGCTGTCAGCGCTGTCCCTGGCGAGTGGACTGGGAAGATTTGTTGAGCGAGGTGGGCAGTTAGAAGTCTCCAGAATTAGGCTCTGCTAAAGGGGAGAAAGGGGTGAGCAAGGCTTGCGACAGACAGGAACATCCAAAGTAGCTCGATGCATCCAGCTCATGCATAAGTAAAATCAAAGTTATTCATGGGGACAAAGTGTGACTCTCCTGCAACAGTGCCCCCCAACTTATTTATGTGACAGAACAGCCACCAGCCCACTGATGGGAAGGGAAAGGGGAAACTACAGTGGGCCCTTTCGTAAGATGTGCTCACCCACTCTAAGATTGTTGGGAGATGCCCAGGGAGGAGGTGAGGCAGTGAAGTGCTTCTCTCCACATGAAACCCACCATTTAGAGGCTCTGCTCTATCTCCGGCCCACTAAAAGGTACTAGTATAATCTCACCAAATCATGCAAGAGAAACCAAAACCTCTAGAAATCAGACTGTGAGAATCTGATGAGATACAAACTGCATTCAGAATGCCTATTTTTAAAAATCAAATCCAAGGTGCTATCTGCCAAAGGCTTCCCCTCACATAGGCTGAGCCAGAAAGGCAGTTCTTAAGACAGCAGGCTTCCTGACACTTGCATGCTCCCAGTAAATTCAATCAGGCACGTACCGCAGCCAGTCAGGCTAATTTGGCAGTTTTCTAAATACTCAAACCATTCTCTAACCTGGCCTGCTTGGAATCACAAAAACAATCAGGTGGAGAGGGTGAAGACTGCCAACAAATCAAGGGTAAAGACAGAAGACAGTGCTTCCTCAGCACTGCCAGGGAGCTTCCACAGGTCCCCGTGAAAAGGATGGGTCCCCTAAGTGGAAGACAACCTTACTTAACCCAAAGCAAGAACTTCACCAGGAATTATGGAAAATATTATCTGGAATTTACCTTGACTATACCAGGTTGCACTGAACTAGCCTAAAGACCAGGTCTGTGTATGGGAAAATGAGGTGGCTTTAAATCTACCCAGGGTGCCAGAAATTTTAAAAACAAAGCAATAGGAGTGAATAACTTGGCTTAGTGCCAGAATAATACCACCTCCAAAGAGTCATATACTAGACAAGATGTATAGACAAAGCTCTATGAAGAGTTATAAGAATGAAAGGATGTGAAATTCTCCTATTATCTAATCCTAGAAATCTAAACCAGGTATGATCCAGCACTCAGAACACTGAGACAGGAGAATCTCGAGTTTGAGGTCAGCCTGGGCAACCTGGCAAAACCTGTCTCAAAAAAAAAAAAAAGTCTTTAGTCACTCTAGAGGAAGAACCAGGAGCAGCTGTGGCTTTATTAATTACTTCCCAGTCTCTCAAACAACTTCACCTACAGCTTTGTTGACTAGACATGTGGGTTCCCGTCACAGCCATGGCCCTCCAGAGCATGTCACAATTTTTAGGAGCAGAGGTAGGAGCCACTTCTAAGGCTGTCCCATCTTAAGTCTGATTTTACTGTGAGTAAAATCAGTATTTTCTGAACTACAATGATATATGTAATAGTACAGGGAATCTGAGGTGACAATTAAGCTTGAAAATCCAGAGAACCCGAGGCTAAAGGGACGTACTCTGTATCATACAACATTAAAGCAAGAAAACTGTAGATGCCTTCTAATAGCAGTATAAAATAGCTTGAAGGAATTAAACATATTTAAGTACCTAACTTACTGTTCCCTCTCATCAGAAAAAGGTAAGCTGGCCTGGGTCTACACCTGGAAGGCTTTCAAGGCTGAGGGTCAACATGATATTTGGCATGTATTGCTGCTCTCTACTGTGTTTGCTACATTATTCTCCAAGATGGTCTATTTACATGCAAATGACTGGCCCAGCTTTCGTCTCCAGCAGCAGCCCAAGATACTCCTGTCTAGTAAATCACCCTGATTCCTGGCCCTCCTCCCAGCTAAAGAGCTGTGCACAGAAGCAGTGACACCCGTTATCCACAATCCCTCTTGCTGATACAAATAAAATTCTAATAGACTGTTTTCTTTCTGGGAGAGCCCTGCAAATCTCAAACACAACTAAGTTGGAGATGGTTTCACATAGGCCTAAACAAGAGGTGTAGAGCTAAGTATAACCTAACACCAAAATCATCCCTACAGTGCATTAACTCCCTCCCATTCACTAAGCACTGAAAAGATTCAAATGGACAACAAGTCTTTTGGTTAGAATATTGTAAGTGAACTTGGCTGTGGACCATAAGCAGAAATCTTGGCTTCTCATCTGGGGAGCCAGCCAAGTTTGAGAAGTTGGCTCAACAAGGAAAGGCAGCAGTCCACTGCCTGGTAGAAAGACTGGGCTGGGGACTGTTGTTCTCAAAGTAGTGGATGGAATTTCTGTGGTGGTTCCAGGCCCAATTTAACTAGTAGAAGAATGGAATCTTAGACCAATCCCTCCTCTGCCACATCCATCTCTGAGCTGTTATGCCTAACCAGAGTCAATGTTAAAGCTCTTAGACAATAGCAAAGATGCATTTTTGTTCCTCTTCCCCAAGCCTCACTTGCAAGAGCAAGTTAAAAACATGTAAAACTAACATGCCTAATTTCAGGCAACTTTGAATTAAATGTATCACCAGTGGCTTGAAACATGAAAAACTTTTATACAAGGCTGAGAATTCTGAGAAACATTTCTACACCACAGATCCATACAGCCTGATACAACACTATCATCACCGAGGGCCAGTTGGCAGGTTTATCACTGCCTGGTGAACTGTGCTCACTTTCTTAAAAGGCCATCCCTTCCCAAAAGGCCAAGATTTCAGAGTTGAGAAAGAAAAGCTGAGAGAAGACTCTTAATATAAGGTATCTGAAATCCTCCCACAAACTTAAAACTGGTTTTTTTTTGGTTTTGTTTTGTTTTTCCTAAAACAAGGTCTTTATATTACTATCAAACAAATGAAACAACTCAGAGGAATGACTTGTCTCTCACTTGTACTGAGGATGTCTAACAATGAAAATGGTAGAAGAAACCCTACAGAAATAACCAGGTACAATTCTAGGAGATAACAGATCTTACTACAGCTATGTAGCAGGTATACATCCTCCTGTATACATCCTCTAGGGGCAGTTGCTAAATGCTGCTTGCTCTCCAAACTGGATTTGCAGTTTCTGCCAGAAAGCCTTCCTTCAGCTCGTCCCAGACCAACAGAAACAGTAAGGGGCTACCAAAGAGTGGCCCACAGATGCTCAACAGGAACTACGGCACCAAATCACTTCCAGCCTTTATGGAAGGTGCCAAGGTTTTTACTTAGCCTCTCAGTTTTACTTCTACCAAAGTGCCTGTTGGCAGCCAGAATAAAAATCTTCACTTACAATTTGTCCATCTCTGACACTAATAAGCACATGTATCTTAAGTGTTATTAAATGTTGAAGGCAAAAGTTTTTTTTTGTTGGCCAGTAAGTTAAGTTGGCAGGAGGTCACCAAAGCTAAGATCTGTTCAGAATTATAGGAAATCTCTTAAAATTATTTCCTTTCAACTTATTCCACAGAGAATGCATCTTGGTTCAAGGAATTATACCAGTCAGCAACCTTATTTCCTGCAAGTTCTAGCAAGTAACATGGGGAAATAAATGCTTCATTATTCAAAGATGGAGAAAGTTCTCCAGAACAATACCATTTCTTGCAAGCTACCTGACACCTAACCCCTTTTTAAGAGGAATCTTCTCAGTGCCAATATAGAAAATTCTCATTGTATAAGGAATTTGTACTGCCCACTAACTATTTACTGCCTTTAGGAAATTTAAAAGTTGCATTTTAATTTTTTTTGGTGGGACTGGGGTTTGAACTCAGGACTTCATGCTTGCAAAGCCAGTGCTCTACCACTTGAGTCAAATCTCCAGTCCATTTTGCTCAGGTTATTTTGGAGATGGGGTCCTGCAAACTATTTGCTCAGGCTGACCTCAAACCTCAATCCTCCCAATCTTCTAACTAGTTAGGATTATAGGCGTGAGCCACTGATGCCCAGCAAAGGTTGCATTATAGAGGAAAGATAATATTGCTTATGATTATTAACCTATTCCTTTTCTTTTTTTTTGGCAGTGGTACTAGGATTTGAACTCAGTGTCTCATGATTCGTAGGCAGGTTTTCTACTACTTGAACCACACCTCAAATCCAAGCTATTCTTATTAATCACTAAAAACATTGGAAATAAAAAGGTCCCATACTCTCACCCGAAAATAACTAGTACTTCTGACTGAGAAGAACCAGACAGAAATAAATAAAACTGAATTTCTAAGCAACTTAAAATGTTCATTTTATACATGAAATAATGAGTATTTAGGATGAGATAAACTAATATCCTTAAGTGAGAAAATACAAATTTCAATTTCCCAGCTCTTACTCTGTTTCAAGCCCATTGCCTGGTATACATTCCCATTATAATGAATACACTTGTTCTGAAGGCTTTTCTCATCTTTTGATCCATAAAAGAACTTAGGAACACTATTACCTGCACATGGTGTCATACTATGGCTATTTAAGAGGAAGGATGCCTTAGTCAGAAAATTTTAATTCAAACTCAAATTGGATTCATTTATCAACTCTTTTAGCATTACTGGCACATTGACTTAACATAAGAAAACCTTTTACTCTAACAGGCATATTCAGGAACTAAACCTGGCATTTATGCTATTGCCAATACTCTAAGACACAAAATACATGCACTGGGCAGCACTTCTGCCATGCAACTGATTGGGTGAATTCCAATCTCAGAGGCGGTCAAACTCATTCCTTTCCAAATACACTGTAATTCCTAAAGAAGCAAATTGCTGAGAAGTTAAAGACACTTTATACAAGCAAAGTCCCAAGGTGGAATTACACAAATCTACTTTAAACACCTAACAGGTATGCTATAGCTGCAACATGTTCAGCTGGTGTGAAGGACAGTACATCAGGAAAGGCCTCGGGCTTCTTGATAAACACAAATCCTACATTTCTCCTATACTTTCACTCTTAAGAAATTTACCGAAAAGAAAACAGAAAGGAATCCCTTCAACAGATACAACTTTTCCTGAAATTTATCTTTAAAAATGGAACCCTTTCCCTCCAAAAAGCAAAAAAAAAATAAGAGAACATGAGTGGGATTCTGTGATATATGAAACTTAGTAATATTGCTTGGGGTTATTTCCTTTAACAAAGCTTTACTGGTCACTGGAGAAGCTGTTTTCCCATTTCGTGAAATCAGTTTCACTTTCTGTTACAGTTAACCTCACTTCCTAATTCTGCTCTTGCTGAGTATTTTGCATTTTTCATGTAGTAGGGCTTACATATTGTAGTGACATTATAAAACACAAATGAATGTCTTTTTTTATATAGGACCCACAGAACATTTTCCAAAAAACTTTTTTAAAGTTCTACTGTAGTCCTAAATATCTGGTTGTTCATAACTCCTATCTTTTTCTGAATAATTTTCCCAAGGAAAAATTTAAGAAGTTTCCCCCCAAATTTTAAGAATATATTTATTATTTATATTGAATTTTAGGAAGTAAACAATGTATTTAGAGAGGGGGAAAAAAATGAAATCCTTTTCACCTTACCCATTCATAGCAGTTATTTGGTATACTATAAAATTTGCCTATAACACATTTGCTTTTTCTGTCCATGCTGTTGTCATTAACTTATACCAGATAATATTTAAGTCTCACGAAGCAGGTACATCAAATTAAAATCAAAGAATCTGGAGGTCCTGAGTTCAATCCCCAGCACCAAGAAATAAAACAAAACAAGAGAGCCAAACCTATTTTTATTGTCTATTTTCCAAAATAAAAGGAAAAAACTCTGGGCACCTTAACAGCAAACTAAAAACATCTAGACAAACAAGGAGATTAGCACTCTAGGAGAGTGGAAACATTTTACTAAGTTAGTACACCAATTTACATCAACACCCATGTGGATAAGTATTTTGAAAAGCAGAAAGCACTCAAGAATTGTGAGCCAGAATTTCACAAAGAAGAAAACTTTTCTCTCACGAGAAAGACAATATAATTCCAATTCAAAGAATGATTCTACAAAGGAAACCTTATCAATCCTGATCCTCCAACCCTGATCAAGCCTTGAGACAGATTGAAAAAAAAAAAAAATAAGGGTAACAGTAACTTTATTTGGGGAAAAAAAAGAGTGAGAGGGAGAGACAGACACCTGTGGCTCATACCTGCAATCCTAGCTACTCAGGAGGCAGAGATCAGGAGGATCATATGGGCAAATAATTCAAGAGATCTTGTCTCAAAAATACCCAAAACACACACCCACACACCCACCCACCCACACACACCCCCCGATGAAGTGGCTCAAGTGATAGAGCATCTGCCTAGCAAGCGTGAGGTCCTGAGTTCAAACCCTAGTACCAACCAAAAAAAGAGAGAGAGAGAGAGAGAGAGAGAGAGAAAGCTGGGGGTATAGCATGGCTCAAGTGCAAGTACAAAGCCCTGAATTCAAACCCCAGTACTGCAAAATAAATTAATAAAAATACAATTTTCAACTATATGTATAACTGTAAGTATGTGACCATACTTATTTTTAGTAACTATTACCTGGTAACAATCTTAAGATCCTTGAAACTGCATTCTTGGGTTTTATGGAAATATCAGATCTCAATAAAAATTTTCTTAATGCCTATCTGCTTAGACAACCTGCACAATCTTTGATTGCTCTAATGAAGAGCAGGTACAACTAAAAGAGATTGACTTTACCTTGTGATTATTGGATTCTTACAACAGAGGTATCAAAGTGGCATCCTCTTAACAAGTCCTCAAACAGCTGTTCCACACATCATTTTAAAAATCAGAAAAACAAACTGAGGGTGCAGCTCAACAGAGAGCTTGCCTAACAAGCACATGGCCCTGAGTTGCCCCCAGCACTGCAAAAAAATAAAAACAAAAATCAGAAAAATAATATGACAATCTGGATTTCTAAGGTATGTGACTCACAGGGAGAGAGCTTACCAGGCATGTAAGAGGCCCAGTGTTTGGGGGGGTGGGGGGGCAGGGGACTGACACGTGACACAGGAAAGATAGAAAGATCTAGCAATGCTGAGCTCTTATTCCCATATAACAATCCACTGGGATTGAGTAGTGGCTGCCTTTTTGCAAGTGGATATGCTCTCCAGTACCCTAGTCCTCACCCCTTCCCTCTACTTTAAGCTTGACCATCTCACTGCCTGGCCCTCAAAGACCTCCACTATACATATTTCTTACTGTTCCCAACTGTCAAATATTAGACACTATGATAGACTTGTTTCTCTTCCCCACTCTGCTTCTGATTTTTTCTGGGTCTATTATTCCTCAAATCTATACCCACATTACTGTCTCAGACTCCAAAGACAAGAAATTGTGTATCTAAATCTATAGAACTTTCTTCAGAGAATACAAATCAAAACACTAAGAAATTACTGATAACACTGCATGTACGCATCCATCACCTTGCAGTAAAGCTGCCTCTACAGTGACACTTGTCTTCAACAACTTTTTTTTTATTATCTCTCAGTCAACTCAAATGTAAGAATCAGACCACAAGAAGCTGTATGTGACCCTTACATGCTTCAGCCTTTGGCTCTTCTAGATTTTCAATTTTGGCAGAGAAAACTATACTTTTTTAAGAGTCTGTGGGTCTATAGCAGTCACATGACTTGGTTAAAGGCGATTATACCATGTGGCAAAGCTTCACACAACTATGCAGATATGGTTTAAAACCTACTTGTTCCTAAGTAAATCTTCTTGACCACTCTGCCCTGAAGTAATACCACCATTCACTTCATAAGGCTTTATTTTTAATTTCTCATATAGAGGCAGCTGGATCACTCATCTGAAAACTACAGACTAATTCATTTCTTTGCACACAGCTCCTCTTACTCGCCTACTCACCATAATTTACCACCTAAGAATCTAGGATCATGGGATTTGCAAACCCCTCCAACCCCTCATCTCAGCGATTAACAGGAGAATTTACAATATTAAAAAGATATAGAACGATTCCTTTTTTTTCTCTGACCCCAAAAAAGACTAAAACTGAACGGAAATGAAAATGAAATGGAGAGTAGGAGACGTACCGCAGATTGAAACCTCGGTTGCTCTTCCTGGAATAAGAGAGAAAAAAAATAGAAAATATAGAAGTTATTTTTACACTTCACACTCAATAATAAGAAAGAAAATGCCGGCGGCGGAGGAAGCGGCGGGTGGGGAGTCAGCCCAACACCCCTCCCTCTCTCTCTCCCTCCAACCCACACCCCCAGCGGGATCCGGTAGCGGGGTAGGGGGTCCCGGGCGCCGCCCCTCTTTCCGGGATCCGATCCGGGCCAGAGGGGTCCGGAGCACTGTGTCCTCCCCTCGGACTCTGCTGGGGCAGCTGGGCACCCCGAGCCTCTCTCGGTCCTCCCTCGCCCCCAGGATCCACGGGTCACAGGAGGAAGGGATCGCGAACCCAAGGGGCAGGACCCGAGCGCCGTCCCCCTTCTCCAGAACCCGGACAATGGGATCCCGGGCGCAACTTCTCCGGGTCCCTGGATCCTGAGCGGGCTGGGGGTGGAGCGGGAGGCCGCAGCACCCTCCTTCGAGGGAGGAGGCGGGGGTCCCAGAGGCCGCGTGTCTGCTACCACCTCCAGCCCCAGGAGGCCGCTCCGGCCGGGAGCTCCGAGGAGAGCGAGCCGGGAGCGCGACGCAGGCGGTCCCGGCCCCGGGGGGTAGAGGAACGAGGCTGCGACGGCCTAGCTCCCTCCCGCCGTCGCCCCACTGAGAGCCCCGGCCGCTGTCCCCGCCTGACAACCCGCACGGGAAGGAAGAAGCCCCGGGACTCACGTCGCTCTCCACCTCGATGTCATCGTTATCGCTCATTTCCTACGGCCCAGGGAGCGGCCACTGCAGCGGCGGCGGGGAGGGGGAGGGGCGAAGGGGAGGGGGAAGTCACCGACAACAAGAAGCCGAGTGCCCCCACACACACACTCTCACTCACTCACTCACTCGCTCCCTCACTCACACACACACACACACACACACACACAACACGGGCGAGAACCACCTCCTCACTGCAGCACCGGATCAACGGCGGCACGCACGCCCGATCGGCCCCCTGCCACGTGACCGGGCTCGCAGCGCCGGGGCAGCCGAGACTTGTAGTCCTCGATCCTCTGACTGGTGGCCCAGCGAGCAGAGTAAAAACTACAATTCCCATAAGGAAGCGCACTCCGTGGCCGCCAGCCCGGCTTGTTGACGGAGCACAGGGCGCCTGCGCGCCGGCAGGGGGAGGGGCGGAAGTGCGTGGTGCCTGCTGGGAGGCGTAGTCCTCAGACCGCGAGTTGTCAGGAGGTTTTCTTCCCGAGGCAGCAGAGAGGCTGCCGGGAAGACAGGACACGTGGAGCGAGCTGAGCTCCTGGAGCCGGCCACTGTCTGAGCTCCGGGCTCCGGGCCCAAGAGACTGGGTGGAGGCCCTCGGGGAGAAGTCGGTTGCCTAAATAATGCTGCCTCTCTTGGCGCGACTGGTTTTACTTTGTCTTCTTCAATTCCCGAGTCGCTCCACTTTGCGCCTTGGGGCGTAACCCGCCCGAGAGCGAACCGTGCTGCGGCGGACTAGGGGGCGCGGCTCGGGATGCCCACGCCGACCCTCCGGATCCGCTTGTGGGGTGTCAGTGGCTGGGGTTTAGTGGCAGCTAGATGACCAACCTCGCGGCTGGACCCCTGCCAGCCGCAGTCTTGTATCCATTCGCCTGGAATAACCATTCTCGCCACTCACGTGCGACTCGTACAGAACCTCGTGTTCGTGGGAGAAAAAAGGCCCGTCAGTGTTTGCTGTATGTAGCCCGTGCAGTGTAGGGAGTGCCCCAGAGCAGAGAGCCATAATTACGGCAAAAAGGGTCAAAACGGGAAACGTGTGCAGCTCTAGCCAGTTAAAACCGTACTTATATACTAGGACTTGAAGCGTAATTACATCCATGCCACCAGTATTTATTGAGCACCTAACATGTAGCAGCACAGGAATGCCATGATATGTAAGACTGTAGTGGTCCCTGCCTTCTTGGAGCGCACAGCTGTGAAAGCAAAAATGACATTGCCTGGCCGCCATTTTTAGGATGCATTAAGTTCCACAGGAAAGAAACTTTCCAAACCATCACATAAACCAAACTACTCTTTTACATCTGTTCTCCAAGGTGAATGAAATCTTGGGCTTTTATTATGACTTACTGATTCCTGAATGAAAACCGTTTTATCCCTGACTTTCAAATGCGGAAATTTGGGATTATAACATACAATCTTTGTGACATGTATCTTTGTATGAGCATATAGTTATTGCTAAAGAGGCAAATGTGATAAACTTTCCTTTAAGTTTTTTCTTCATGTGTTTTATTTGTTGCTCAGTGATCCAGTCCTGCTAAAGTCTGCACATTTTGTAAATGAATCTATCTTTTCTAAATGCTTTTGTCTCCTACCGTTGGGGAGACGACATGAGTTGACCATTATGTGATAAGAGGTGATGGGGTATAAGGGAGACAAGGATGGTAGTTCTTCTGTGAGTTAACTAGATACTAGGTTCGGATTAATTGATAACAAACCATCATTTGGGTGCCTGCTATGTGCAAAGCACAATAGGACAACCCCTAGCTACAAGTTAAATTCACTTGGAGGCTTGGAAAAATTCCCATACCTAGGACACACCTCAAACCAATTAAGTCAGAAACTATGGGGTGAGACCCAAGCAGCAATAGTTTTTAAAGCTGTTCAGGTGATTTTGATGTGGCCCCAAGACCTAACTACTGCCATAGAGGATGCCAAGATAAATAAGGTAGGCTTTCATTGGATTGTATACTTTGAAAGAGTGGATTTTTATGGTATGTGAATAATTATATTTCAATAAAACTGTTATAAAAGGAAAATAGTCTTTGTTCACACAGAACCTAAAACCTAACAGGTGTGAATTATGAACACAATGTAGTGAAGACAGACTCTGTGTCGAATACCTTGTCCGGACAGTGAAAGCTGTAAGAGCTCAGAAGTGGGAGAAAAAGTGCTATGGCCCAGGTGGAGTGCAGTTTGTCCAAGGCATCTTAAACTGTCAGCTTCCCAGGGCAAGAGCTGGGTCTACAAAGACCAGGCCAAATTTCACTCACCACAAATCCCCAGTTGTTGGAAGGTCTGGGGGAGCAGGCTGAAGTGAGGAGGAGGAGAGTTGCAGGTGGAGAGACTGGGGGTGTTAACCCCCAGTCTTGTAGTTGGTGGACCTGTCAGCCTGGTTAGTAAATCTGACCTAATAGACAAAACACTGCACCCAACAGTTGTAGAATGTTGTTTTCAAACACTCAAGGGATATGTATAAGAACTGCCCATATTATGTTCTTAGCCATAACACAAATCTCAGCAAGTTTCAAAGGACTGTGAACTTAGCATGTTCTTGGACCCTAGGCAATTAGAGTAGAAATAATAACAAAAAGCCAGCTAGGAATTCTCATGAGTTTGGAATTTAAGAAACACTTTGGGCTGGCAGAGTGGCTCAAGTGGTAGAATGCCCACAACAGCAAGCATGAAGCCCTAAGTTCAAATCCCAATACTGCCAAAATAAGACCAAAACCAAATACTTTTAAGTGACCCAAATGGAAAGACAGCATACAAGAACAGAAATTTCCTTTAATTTTCCTTCTTAGTTCTTTTTTGATGCGAACAACAATCTAAGAATCCATGTTCATCTCTACACACAAGTGTCTCTGGTAAAACTACAGAAAGTTTTTCAGGCTTGTGAGATTTTCAAGACAATCTTGTCCGCCCTTTGCTGCTTTAAACTGGCCCAGTGGTAAACAAATCCCCGGGAAGCTTGTTAGGAATGCAAAGCCTCAGGCCCCACCCAGACACACTAAATCAGATCTGCATTACAACTGATTGGGTTGCACTTCAGCGTTTGAGAAGCTCTGATGGGGAGGAGGGGAGCAGAGTGGAGAGGGCCACGACTGCCTGCTGTCCTCTGCAGCTCTTCTGTGTTCTGCATCCACCTTGCTGCTTCACCAAACTCCCTCTTCTCCAAAGCCCTGTGAGTGGCCTTCTACACTCACACTGTTGACTACTGTGTGCTCTCTCTCTCTCTCCCCCTCTGTCTCTGGAATTGAACACAGAGCTTCACCCAGGGCTCTACCACATCTCCCATCTCCTCTTTCTCTTTCCTTTCCTTCCCTTCCTTTCCTTTTTTTGAGACCATATTTCACTGTGGAGCCCTGGCTGGCCTCAAACTCGAGGTCCTCCTGCCTCAATATCCTGGGACTACAATGGTGCACCACAAACTCCTGGCTGACTCCTCTTCTTGAAGGCCAAGAACTTTTGTGTTTTTTCTTCCCACCGTCTTCACTGATCCTTCTTGTGCCACCTCTGGTTCCCCTTGCCCAGAACCAGAGACCTTAACTCTTCTTCCACCTCCACCTGGTGGAATCCTCTACCTCGTGAGGCCTTCCTGACCATCTCTCTGATGGTGACTCAAGACTGCATAGCTCTCTTTCCATTGTTATATGCGATTTATTTCTGGACACATGTACTTGAAACAAGCAACTCAAAATGCAAGGCTTGTCTTTTGAGACAGTGAGAACTTGTCCCAAAACAAATCAGGGCTGGAGGCATGGATCAAGTGGTAGAGTGCTTGCCTAGCAAGTGCAAATTCTGAGTTCAAAACCCCAGTACCAAAGAATGAAGAAACAGGTTTATTTTGTTTGTGGTACTGGGTTTGAACTCAGGGCCTTATGCTTGCTAGGCAGGTATTTTACCACTTGAGCCACTTCACCAACCCTTTTTTATAAAGGGTTTGTCAAGATAGGGTCTCGAAAACTATTTGCCCAGGCTCTCTTTGAAACCTGACCCTCCTGATCTCTGCCTAGCATTACAGGTGTGAGCCACCTCTGAAACACAGGTTTTGACACAGCATTTAGAATATTAGTCAGTCATACAAAATTGGGTAGAGAATATGTGTAGAGAATTAGAAGGGTATTCAGCAAAAATGTTAACAGTATGTCTTTGGGAATTGGGATTTCCAATGATTTTTCTTTTTCTTTACTTTTTAAGTGTGCAATATGCTTGCCAAAAAAGTAGAGCTACCTCACCAACTTTGTTATCTTTCCTAAGCAGCAAATTCTCAAGGAAATCTTCCAAAGATATTCCTATCCTTCTCCCAGTCAGTAGTGCCTGCTTTCTCCTTATTTGGGGGAGGGAGTGTAACCACTAATGTTCCTTCCCACAGGAGCCAGCTGGTATACTAAGAGCCTTTTAAACGGTTTTTTTGTTGTTGTTTTTTTGTTTTATAAATAGGTTGGGTGAGGGAGTATAGCTCAATGGTAGAGCACTTATCGAGCATGCAGAAGGCCTTGGTTCAATCCCCACCCCTGCAAGAAAATTAATTAAAATAAACTTTAAAAGAAGCTACAAGGAATTGTCCCATTGCGACTCTTTTCCCATACCTACAACCATGGAGGAGAGGGGACAGAGTGGTGACCTATCTGGGAGGGAGGGGCTGTATGCCCTGGAACAGTAGCTTAGGTCAGGGTCTCAGAATAGTTGGATGGGCTGGTGGAATGGCTCAAGTGGTAGAATGCCTGCCTTGAGAGCACAAGGTCCTGAATATAAATGCCAAAATCACCAAGAAAACAAACAACAAAAAACCCCCACAGATCAGAGCAGTTGGAGTTGAAATACCAAAAGGAAGATCTCTAAGCTCAGGGAGAGATCCTTTTCTCCTCTTCTCAAATTTTCAAAGAAGGCAGGGAATTTCAACCCATTCTGCAGGAAGGAAAATACAGAGGGTGGGGGTACGCTGGCATCTCTGCTCCCCCTTTATTTCCCCTTGCAGATGAGTGACTGACTCATCACGGTAGGGGTGAGAAAACTTTCCTTCTACCTTGTGATAGTTAGACAACAAAATGTGTTGACAGTAGACTGGAGAAGAGGTAAACAAGTTTATCATGTGCATGGGACATAAGAAAGAAAAGGGAGCATCCTAATATCCACTGAGATCTAAAGCTTGTATACCCTCTTCGCTGTGGAGAAGGCAGGGACACAGGTGACTGAGGGTTGAGTAAATGACTCCTGCGAAAGATGAA